CCCCATCATCTGCCAATCGAAATTGAGGACTCCACCCTCTCACCCCATCTCCCTCACTTTCATTCTCACCAATGACCAATGAACTAACTGATTTTGCACCATCCTTTTCGTGTCTTCGATCAATCCACCACCAGATTGATTGATTGACCAGGGTAAATGTGGATTCGTGTGCCTTGACTTTTTCTTCCTATTGTACCTTGTCGTCTACTCTTCGCAAGCTATTTTGTTTTCTGAAGGATGACAATTCTAATGATCTGACTCTTTATCGCTTTGACTTTTCTCAAACAAAATAGGACGTTAAAAATGCAAACTCCTGCATTTAACTGACACGTTCATTATTTTGGCATGATTTTAAGCTTCTACGTTTGGTTTATGTGGATTGCTTTGTTGGTGGTTGTTCATTCCGAAAAGTGCTATGCCTGTTGACTTGTAAATTATCATTTAAGTAAAAGGGTTTTAAATGAGGTACAATAATGAGGGCGATCCGAAAATTGCAATGACGACTCATTAAATTCTCAGATAAATAGGATGGAGTTATTGCAAAAACTCGCATTTACAAGGACATATCTACATAATGGCTAATTCAAATGCCACCTCTTTTAAACAATTGAAGATGAAATATTTCATTATAGTATTCAATTCAATGTGGTTAATTGGCTTCAGTCGTATGAATTTCTTAATTTTAGAAGTCCACTTTCTTATAAAGCATTTCATGCAATAGCTAGACAATGTGGAAACCTGATCGATTGCCAAGTACCTCTGAAAAAGTGAGTGCCTTTTGTTTGCACAATCACGCCAACAAAGGCTATCTTCATTTATCTAAACTGGAGGTGGTGATTGTTGAACGTCAACAATCGTCTTGCGAAATATGCACTGTGTGTTAAGCTCAAGTAAGTACAGGCAACAAACATCTAGTTAAATGGAACAACAAATACCATTGAAAAAATGATCGGTTTTGATAATTTAATGAAATGTATTCAAAATTACATGCACATAATGCAATTGCAAAATTGCTATTAAAAATTAGTTATGTGCAAAACTCACTTTAGTCGACATCTTAGTTTCACGTAGATTCGATTCGAATAAGTACTACAATTACAAGACTTTCCGTCATGAAATTGTCCAAATATTTATCGTATTACAAACTCGAAGGCAGCCCTACGATGCTATTGACAAACCACAAAATAAAAACGGTATTGATTGGTTGGCAAACAAAAAGCAAACCATTTCTTCTTATTGAAAGAATACTATTCAATTTGCTAAAACCAATCAGCACCAAAACACAACAAACTGATCAAGGAATAGATTTATTTATCATTGTATAACTGAAAGTAATTTCAAAGAAACATAGAAAATCATAATTCATTTGTTATATCTATTTGGTCACAGTTAATAAATTTGAGAATAGACTATTTAATTTGAATTTCATCATTAGGAAGAAACTAAATGAGCAACGGAATACCATTAATCGGTTTTTTGATATTTTTTTCACAATGCATGACCGCATCGAATTGCTAACAAAGTGCTAAAATTTGAAGATCAATTATAAAGGGACAATTACCTATAAATTAATATTGCGCCGGTAGGTATCATTCTGAAGGTAATGGAAAATCTGTAGCTCATTAAAGCGGATAGAAACAAACAAACACCTTTAAAGTGAGCAAAACAAATTCGTTTCTACCTAGGAGGAAGCGCGGATCCCCATTGCTATACTTATGTGAACCAAAGAGAAGGAGAGAGCCAATGGAGATACCTGCATATATACCAAATATACGCCCTAAAAAGAGGTGACATTAAGGACCATTGGGCTACCTCTTTTTAAATATGCATATGTACCACCACTGGCCACAATGAGTGCAAGAATAGTACCAAGTATATCGGGCATATCGGAAAAGTGAACACGAATTACCTACAAATTGTGTTATTGAGATTTGACCTTGAAAGAAAATAAATACGTATTAAACAAAAGTTGTATATTCTGCTTCAAAAAGCACGCAATATTTTAAAAATAATTTAAAACGTACAATAAAATCGATGTTTATTTGATGTAAATGAATGTGTATCTCATAGAGTACTTTGTAATATGTCGCTATTGCGATTAATTTAATAGAATATATATTCCTTGTGTGTTTGTTTCAAATGACTTTAATGTTCATAAAAATTCGCAGAATGAGTCCCATAGTTGAATATTTGAAATGTGTCTATAATGCCATAAACGATAATTTAACATCTCTCTAAAAATTTTTCACAATAATTTATTTATTTATCTCAAATAGCAGGCTTTATGATATTTATCATTAGCCCTGGTTTTTCACAATAATGTGGATCATAATTTTGTACCCCCATCAGGTAAGACCCAAATAACCCACCACAAAAATATTACCCTCATTTTCCCCCCACTTTCAAATGGTCAGTGTTTTCCTAAAAATAGGATTAATAGAATATTATTTTCCCTTTTAATATTTTAAGAATGAATGTGGCTTATCAATTATTTTGGAAGTATCTACCTAAAACGGATATTTTATAATTGCGAAATCTATATCAAAATTGTTAGCACTATAACTCAACAAGTGCCATCATGACCCATCACTAATTTGACGTCCTTAATGCGCAACATTTAGAGAAGATAGTGAGCGAATTACTAATTACCTCATGTTTTTATCTGATCATGACTCCATGGACTATTAGGTCATTAGACATCTCTACAATGTTCAAAACTCAAGTTACGATTTTTGACAATTAATTGGCAAGCATGTTCCTTTGTGTTTGTCTCTTACATCTTTGAAACACTCTTCTCTTCTCTCCCCCCCCCTCTCGACTTTTTTTCAATTTGATGTTCCTTCCCCTCTGTGAAGTCTGAAATCAACTAAAGGGCTAATGATAATCATCAAGACGCCTACCATTTGATATAAATAAATGTCTATCATGTTGTCCAATTCAGCCCCATGCAAAATAATTTCGATAATAGCTATATATCAGTAGCAATATTTTTTCAACTAGGAAACCGGTTTTTTAAACCAATTGAACTGGTAGCCCTACAACTGGAGATTGACGCTCTGACAGCACCAAAACCTGAACGACCTCAAGCTAGTGGAAGCGGTCACCATCAATCCAGTGGTGGCGGTAAAAATCAACCACCCAATGGTGTTATCCAGTCCGAACCTCTCCCTCCCTCCCCATCATCTGCCAATCGAAATTGAGGACTCCACCCTCTCACCCCATCTACCTCACTTTCGTTCTCACCACCAATGACCAATGAACTAACTGACTTTGCACTATCCCTTTCGTGTCTTAATGTTATTTCTATTTTTCACTTTAACATTTTTGCAAAATACCAAATATTTAATGTGCAAGCTGGTACATATTTTTAACGCTCTTTTTGACCCAATTTTCAACTTCTCTTTTTGGTGCTGTATTAATGAGAATTGATTTGCTGGAGGTAAGACTGGCTGCCTTTGTGTTATCTCCATATCTTTACACCAGTACTTACTCCATCCAGAATAGCTATCTCTTCCTGGAATAAAACTTAAGGATATTTTTTTAATAACAGATGATCTTCCCAGGGGACTGCAAATAGTTGCTGGATTTTAGGGCAGATACATTGAACAATTGTGATGCAATAAGTATGAGAATAGCAGGGCGTGTTGGGAGACTTTTGAGATTTGAAAATGTTAATGGAATAAGAGTTGAGGTAATTAGAATGCTTATTTATTTATTTATAACAACTGGCAGGCATTTCGACAGTTTCATTAGCCCTTTAGGTGACTTCAGACCTCATAGAAAAGAAGAAATATCAATGTGGAAAAAATTTCGAGAGAGGGGGGGGGGAACAGAAGAGTGTTTTAAAGATGTAAAAGAGAGACACAAAGGTAGAAAAAGGTAGGAAGAGTACTGTGGAAGTAGTCGAATATGACATACAGTGGAGTGATGGTAGTTTGAAGTGAGAAGTCAACTGTCAGTTAATAGACTTTTTGTCGTATGAGTATACGTTGCCCTGGGTGCACCACGTGGAGATAAGTTTATTGCGCACCCCGAAATTAGAATGTTGACTGCGTTCGTGTTTCTTGCTTATCAGATAAGCAGTCAACAGCACCATCTTCTAACTATTCAGATATCACATATTTATAAATCACTGTTGATGAATGCCACTGCAGACTCTATGTGAATGAAGACTATTTTTCAAATTTGATATTTCATTGAATTCGATCAATTTCTCTCTTAAGAGGCGCATGTTAATGAAATCCCCCTTTCAATTTAATTTTATCATAAGGATTTCGCCTAACCAAGAAAAGAGAAAACCAATAGAGTATTTTCCAACATAATCACCGCAATATTTTGTCAACGTGTTGTGGCATTGATGTGCGGATGTGTTTCGTCAACTGGATGTTTCACAGAATTAATCTGCCAACCGAAAATCGGAAGGTCAAGCAAATATCCGGCAACAATAGCTGGCATAATGTGAAAGTTTGCAGAACATCAAGTTTGCTTGTTGTCGCTTTTAGTTATCCAAACTTACAGCAATGAACATCTTGGAGACGATTTCACTCCAATTAAAAATTTTAAGCCTCAAAATTAACGAACTTAGAATGCCAACAGACTGGTAAGCCATACCGTGATCAGCTTGTGAGTACAGCATTTCAGCCCAAGTAAACTACTGAGATGATTGGCAACGTGCTTTCTAGAAGATTAGAGGGTTTGATGTCAAATTTTTTCACAAATAGGCAACCACACGTCTGACAAGTAGATGTTAGAGTCTAGACGGTGTTCAGGCATGATGGAGGAAGAAATCATATAGCCCACCAAATGTTCAATAGTACTTATGCTCATAAATTGCCTTTAATCATTAAAGGTAAATACGTCCAACTTCATCAGGGCTTTAACGTCTGCAAGGCTGTATGCATTCCCATCGTTTGGTGTTACATGCGTACTGTCCGATGCTATGGGTTATGGCTAAAAATTTAAATGAGTCCAAAAGGTGGGACAACCAAAAAAGTGTAATGATGTCGCGTTAAATTTCCTAACTGAATTTGAGTCACGGATAATTATATGGGAAATACGGGGTGTGGGATAGAATTACCTCCTTGTGGTGCACCTTGGACAACGTATTGGGTTGGCAACTAAGTCATTGTTGTTTTTGTTGACGGATTCACTCTATACTTTCTTTTGTTTTGTTAACGTGGCCAGAGCATCTAACCTATATTTTTTTCTTACTGTATGGGCTTCTAGGTTAATTAGTAAAAAATTTTTTTGTTTAGTTCTTTAGTCTTGTTTTTATCCCAATTTAAAAATGAAAGAACAGGACGTGCACTTCCGACACATTTTATTGTATTACTTCCGAAAAGGCAAGAACGCATCGCAAGCACAAAAGAAGTTATGTGCCGTATATGGAGATGAAGCCTTAAAAGAAAGGCAATGTCGAAATTGGTTTGAAAGATTTCGTTCCGGTGATTTTTCACTGAAAAATTCACAACGATCTGGCCGCCCAGTCGAAGTGGATGAAACCCATATCAAGGCCATTATCGATTCAAATCGTCACAGCACAACACGAGATATTGCAGAGAAGCTCAATGTGTCGCATACATGCATTGAAAAAAAATGAAAAACCCTTGGTTATGTCAAGAAACTTGATTTATGGATCCCTCACCAGTTAAAGGAAATTCATTTGACGCAACGGATTAGCATCTGTGATTCGCCGCTACTGAAACGCAATGAGAATGATCCATTTCCGAGGAAGAACCTAGTTACTGGCGACGAAAAGTGGATAGTTTATAACAATGTCGTTACTCGCAAGAGATCATGGGTGAAGCAAGATCAACCAGCACAAACAGTATCAAAAGCAGAGATTCACCCCCCAAAAAGATTATGCTGTCAGTCTGGTGGGATCACAAAGGAATTTGGTATTTTGAACTCATGCCGCAGAACCAAACGATAAATTCAGATGTGTATGTTGAACAACTCGAAAAACTGAAAGAAGGATGCAATTGAAGATAAGCGGCCGGCATTATCAAATCGGAAGGGTGTTGTTTTCCATCATGATAACGCAAGGCCCCACACATCTTTGGTTACTCGGCAAAAATGATTGGAACTGGGTTGGGATGTTTTGTCACACCCACCATATAGCCCTGACCTTGTGCCTTCGGATTACCATTTGTTTCGTTCCATGCAAAACTCTTTAAATGGTAAAATGTTTAACAACGCGGATGATGTCGGATCACACCTAATTCAGTTTTTTAATAGCAAAGACCAGACATTTTACGAACGGGGAATTTTTACTCTGCCAGAACGATGGAAAAAGGTCATCGACAAGAACGGCCAATATCTAATTGAATAAAGTTATATTTTTAAACAAAAATTCCGAATTTGCCTTCTTATTTGAAATTGACAATGACTTAGTTGCCAACCTAATATAATCATATAACAAAAAAGTCTATTAACCGGCAGTTGACTCCTCACTTCAAACTACCATCACCTCCACTGTATGTCATATTCGACATCTACCACAGTACTCAACTTACCATTTCTGGGCCTCTGTGTCTGTCTGTATCTTTTACATCTGTGAATCACTCTTCTATCCCCTTCCCGAATTCTTCCCATTTTGATGTTCCTCTCCCCCTCTGTGAAGCCCGAAGTCAACTAGAGGGCTAATGATAACTATCAAAACAACTGCCATTTGCTATTAAAAATATAGGAAATACTACAAAAACTCGAATTTTCATGATCAAATCTACATAATGGTTATTTCAACATGCCATTTATAGTTATTGGGACTGACATCTCATTTAAACAATTAGAAAATAAATTTATATGACAATAGTGTTCAATTCAATGTGGTTAATTGGCTTCATTTTCAGATGTCAGTTTTCTTATAAGGCACTTCATACAATAGCTAGACAATGATCATACCTGATCGATTGCAAAGTTCTGGCGAAATATTGAGTGCTTTTTGTTCGCACCATCACGCCAACAAAGGCTACCTACCTTTCTTTAAACTGGAGGTTGTGACTGTCGAGGGTCAACAAAACCAACCTCTTCTGTGCTCCCTTTCTTTCAAAGACCCCGATTTCAATCATCTTGTGAAATATGCACTATGTGTTACGCCCAAGTAGGTACAGGCAATAAATTAGTCGTTCTTTTGATTGTATGCAGACAATAAGTACTTCTTTGATCCAGAAAAGCACAATTCACATGCACTTGTCGTAAATCTTGGCTCGTACGTATTAGCACCGTAAATATGCTGTGGAGCAAAATGTAAAATCGTTCCATCAAGCTCACCCATCTCACGAAGCATGCTCTTTTACATTACCAATTTTCAAAATGTAAGATCCCGCAGCAAGTGCATATTCTATTTAATACTCATTCAGTTAGTATGCAAATTGTGGCTAACGATACCAAGCTAAAGAGCGTCATGTTGCCTAATCAAATGAAACAAGGTACACTTTACGCATGAGGATCAATATCATTGCATCAATGGGAAAATAACATCTAGTTAAACTATAAAACGAGTACAATTGAGAAGAACTGACTAGCAAAATTCGATTTAATATTTAAACAGTCTGATTGGAAGCATTGAGGTTCTTCAATCCTTTGTGCAATCGAATAGTTATATCATAAATTGTAACTTCTTCAGTAGAAAGTTCACAATAACCTATTTATTATTTTCTCATAAATTCGATTCGAATATGTACTTCAATTACATGACTTTTCGTCATGAAATTTTCGCAAACATTTATCATATTTCAAACTCAAAGATAGCCCTACGATGCTATTGACAAACCACAAAATAACAACGCTACCGATCGGTTGGCAAACAAGAAGCAAACCATTTCTTAAGTAGCAGATTGCTACCTTAGTAAAGCCTGACTGACTCAGAAATCTCTATGGCAGATTCTCCAACATCAAGCTAGACTCCCAGAACCAGCTAAGCCATAGCCCAGCTATAAAGGAAACAGACGTGTAGCACGGAGCACGTTTACTCAGGACGTATATTGTGGATAAAGTGTACACGCAGGGAGCTACTCATGATCAGGATGGGGGATTAGGTTAAACAGAGGTTGATGATTGGTCACTGTTTGTACGGTCGCTGCACACAGAGTTGTACAGCCGCACCTCCCAATCCTGGCGAGCAGACATCCAGGCATACGATGACGCACACAGCGATATCGTGTCCCACTTATAACTGGAAGAGTGCTGTTCAATTTGCTAAAACCAATTAACACCGAAACACAACAAATTGATCAAGGAATAGATTTATTTATCATTGTATAACTGAAAGTAATTACAAAGAAACATAGCAACACATAATTCATTTGTATCATCTAATTGGTCATAGTTAATAAATTTGAGAATAGACTATTTAATTTGGATTTCCTCAATAGATAATAATTAAATGGATGACAAAATACTATTTCTTGGTTTTTTGACTATTAATCCACAATGTATAACCGCATCGAATTGCCAACAACGTGCTAAAATATGAAGTTAAGTCATAAATACAGAGTTACCTCAAAAGCAGAAACAATCCAGGTGGTACCGGTTTGAAGGTAATAGCATATCTGTACGCCATTATAGAGGCAAGAAGTAAACTACTGCCTTTTAAGTGAACATTATGAGTTTGTATTTACCTAGGAGGAAGCGCGGATTTCCATTGCTATATTTTTGGGCACCAATTAAGAGCAAAATACCAACGACGATACTTGAAATTAAGGAAGGGACATTTCCTGCAATGTATTAATTTAAAATACCTTTGAGTTACCTTTTATTGCAATCGCATAGAGACCGCTACCACAAATGATGAGTCCAAGGAGAGTACCAGGTATGTCGGGCATGTCAAAATGAGAATATTGAAAGCCCACAAATTACGATGTATTGAGATTTGTCCTTGAAGGTAAATAAATATGTATTAAACAAAAATTGAAAATTGTATTTCGTAAAGAACGCTATATATTGAAAATAATTTTAAAGTTTAAAACCTAAAATAAAATTGATATTCTTTTTTGAAATGGATATGTGACTCAAAGAGTAGTTTGGGATTAATCTAAACGAATATAAAATTGTTGTGTACGTGCATGTGAGTGCACATGACTTTTATGCCCATAAAAATTTGCAGAATGAGCCTCATAGTTAAATATCTTAAATGTGTCCATAATGCCATAAACGATAATTTACCACCTTTCGAAAAATTTTTCACAATAATGTGGATCTTTTCTTTGCACCCTAACCAGGTAAGACCCAAATAACTCACCAAATAAACATTTGCCTCATTGTTCTCTTGGCTACAAATGGTCAGCGTTTTCCTAATAATGAAGTAAACAGAAGTTATTTTTTCCATTTTTAATAATTTAATACTTGAATACCACTTACCATTTTTCTTAGTGGTGACCATCACGAATTTAACAGCCTTAACGCACAAAATTTACTGAAGATTTAGAGCAAGTTACTAATTACCTCATGATTTTAACTAATCATGACTTAACGACTCTTAAGTCCTTAGCCATCTCTACTATTTTCGGCGTTCACGTTACGATGCTTGATGATTAATTGGCAAGCATGTTCTTTTTAATTAATGGGAAAGAATCAATGAATACAGATGTCAGTGGATGTCTATCATATTGTAAATGGGTGTTCAATAGACATACCTCCATGTGGTGCAACCTATAAAGCGTATACTCACAGGGGAAAAATGGCTAAAAGGCGGCAGTTGACATTTGACTTCAAACTACCATGACCCCATTGTATATCATATTCGAACACTTCCACAGTACTCCTCTTACCTTTTTTTCTTCCTTTGTGTCTGTCTGTCTCTTTTTCATCCGTGATTCACTCTTCCGTTCCTCTTTAAGACTTGATGTGACTTTGCTGTTCCTCTCCTCTGTGAAGTCCGAAGTCAGCTAAAGGGTTAAGAATAACAATCGAAACGATTGCCATTTGAAATGAATAAACTATATTATGAAATTCAGTCCCGTACTAGCTATATATCAGTAGCAATATTTTTTCAACAAGGAAACCGGTTATTTAAAAGAATTAAACTGGTAGCCCTACAAATTGTGAATGACATTCTTACAGGAAAAAGAACTGAACAACCTCTAGCTAGTGGAAGCAGTAATCATCAATCCAGTGGTGGTGGTAAAAATAAACCACCCAATGGTTTTATCCAGTAAGAAACTCTTCCTCCCTCCCCATCATTATGTATTTTTTTCAAATGGCAGGCTTTGTGATATTTATCATTAGCCCTTAAAATTTGACTTCAGCTTCCCCCAAGGGTGTGGGTACATTTATAGCAGTTCATTAATAGCAGTTCATTCTATCATTAGCCCTTAAACTTTGACTTCAGCTTCCCCCAAGAGGGGGTGGGGTACATACAATTCATGGAGGGGGTACATTTATAGCAGTTAATTAATAGCAATTCGTGGGTACATTTATAGCAGTTCATTAATAGCAGTTCAATAGCCGTCTTCTTGCTTCCCAGTATCCCTGGCTTTCCGTCCTTGTCTTTAGGGCTGGACATCGATTCAGGTGGGTCCTATCCATTTCCTCCTGTAGGTTACATAGGGGGCATGTGGGTTGAGTGTATACTCCCAATCAGTGAAGGTGTTTTGCCAAGCAATCGTGTCCGGTACGAAGTCTAAACTCAGCAACGGCTGCCACTGTCCACTGTCCATGCATTTCAAAATCGTTGTCCCATTCTTAGCAAGTGTGTCAGCAAGCTCATTACATTTAATGCCACAGTGACCAGGAATCCATTGTATGACCACTGTTTTTTTTCTCTCTCTTAGCAGCTGATAGAGTTTTCTAAATTCGTTTATCTCAGCTGTTTTGGGTGGCTCTCTGTTTCCAGTTGAGTTTATTGCTGACTGTGAGTCCGAAAGTATCACCACTTTGGTGAATTTCTTATCCAGGCAACATAATTGGCATAATGCTATCCTAATGGCCTCTATTTCTCCTTCAAAAGCGGATCTATTGTGTCCCTCTGCTTTGTAGAAAGAGAAGAGTTCAGAATAGACACCTGCACCAATGTTTGCTTGGCTTTCTATGTATGACCCATTAGTGAAGACTTGGAGCCATTGATCTGCAGGATAGTTGACATTGATTGTCTCAAGGGCCAGTGAGTCCATTTGCTCTGGAGGGGTGTTTGATTTTCTGAAGAAGTCAAGCAGTTGGGTGTAACGCATTACATCATGGGTAGAGAGGGGCCTTTTGGTTTGTCATCGATTTGTAATTCTTTCTTCAGCTTTTTGGTTTGTCATCGATTTGTAATTCTTTCTTCAGTTCTATAGTTTCTGTATTAGACCAGATTGATGGTACTCATGGGTGCTGAAGAACTTATCCATGGGAATGTACAGTCTAGATTGTGTTTTCAGATGTCTTGGTCTATTCTTATAGGTGGATGCTTTTTTCAGTTCTATGGCTTTCTGTATTAGACCAGATTAATGTCTTGGTTAATTCTCATAGGTGCTGAAGAACGTATCCATGGGACTGCGTAGTAGCTTCTCATACAGGATCAAGGCCCTCTCTTTGATACGGGAACATATTGTGGTGCTTCCTGTAACTAGGAGCATTGCATCAATGGGTGTGGATTTCATCCCTCCAGTAATTAGTCGTAATGCTTGGTTGTGTGCCTTCTCGAGTGGTTTGAGAGTCACCTCTGTGGCCCCTCCCCATCATCTGCCAATCGAAATTGAGGACTCCACCCTCTCACCCCATCTCCTCACTTTCATTCTCACCAATGACCAATGAACTGGCTGATTTTGCACCATCCCTTTCGTGTCTTCGGTCAATCCACCAACCGGTTGATTGACTGATCAGAGTAGATGTGAATTCGTGTGCCTTGACTTTTTGTTACCATTGAACCTTGTCGTCTACTCTTCGCAAGCTATTTTGTTTTCTGAAGGATGACAATTCTAATGATCTGACTCTTTATCGCTTTGACTTTTCTCAAACAAAATAGGACGTTAAAAATGCAAACTCCCGCATTATACTGACACGTTTATCATTTTGGCACGATTTTAAGCTTCTGCGTTTGGTTTTCGTCAATTGCTGTTTGCGGTTGTTCATTCCGAAAAGTGCTATGCGTGTTGACTTTTAAATTATCATTTAAGTAAGAGGCATTTAAAAGAGGCTAGATGCTTATCAGCATTATCGATTTCGCACACTTAAACTTAAGAAGCAAAACCCGACCTATCACTACATTTCATCTTTAGTCATATCAATGAATGCCTCAATTTTTTATTTACAAATAGTTAATAAAAATATACAGTAACTTACACGAATGATCCACATTTGCTCTCAGATAATTTTAATCATTAACTTTTCCACGAACAATAATCGTATTTCTAACTGCACAATAACACTAAGATGCAAATTATAACAGCTGTTCTTTGGTTGGTAATCAAGAAGCAAACCATTTCAACTAATTAAAAGTAATTAATTAAAATGTACAAGCCAACTAACAAAAAACCCAACAAATTGAAAGAGAAATATATATTTAACTCAGTATAATTGAAAACAAATTCACGGAATATAAGTGTTAAAATAAATTTTTATTTTAATATGCGGCTTAATTGATAAATTTTCGAATGCAGTATAACATCTTAAAATTCACCTGAGTAACAATAATCAAAACCCTCTAATTACTATTTATTGATTGAATTGTATCGTCTCCACATTGTATGTCCGCAGCGAATAGCCATCGCCGTGCTAATAGGCAAAAGTCGATCATAATAATCCAATTACCTTAAAATGCATATGATTCCAGCAGGCATAAATTTGCCAGTATTGGCATATCTTGAACCCATTATAGCAGCCAGAGAAAAACTTCCACCTTGAAAGAGAATAAAAATAATTTTAGATTACCAAAGAGGATACGAGGATCGCCATTGCTATACTTTTGAGAACCGATAAAAAGAATGGCACCAAAAGTGAGACCTGCAACTAGGGAAGGAATGCTTCCTACAAATTGTCACAATAAAATACATTTGATTTACTAGCTTTCGCATATCCATATACACCACCTCCAGCAACAAGAAGTGAAAAAGCAGCCCCGGCCACATCGATCATCATAAGCGTACGAAATGGGCGCTTACAGATTAAAGGTCAGTTCTAACGCTCCGAAAGACATTTTAAAATACTATGTTGTCATAAGCTAATTAAGAGGTAATAACTTCAATGAATCGTTAGAGTTCAAGTAAGAATTAATTTGCTTTTAATTAATTGGAATAATTTAGCTTTTATTGTAGAACATAAGTATTTTTTGCTAAATTCTATTTACATGGAGTAAAGCAATAGATCAAATTTTCCTAAATACACTTCGTCATTTATAAGGTTTAGCGTCTTTCCTTTACCCCTTTTAAAACATATTGGAACTTGCAGATTTACATGCATATCTATACCATATACAACTTAGCATTTCCATTGTTTTTATTACAATTTTTCGAATGGGTTTTCATACGTTACCTTTATTTTATAATTAAAAAATATGTACTGTTCAAATTTTTTTATAACAGAATAAATAGATAAAAGTTAATAAAATTGAAATTTTAAAAATAACATCTGCTAGTTTCCATAATTTCCTAAACAATGCCATAATCGAGATCGATGAAAAATCTGTTAATTCTTTTGACATTTCCCATTTAGTTTTAGCATAATAAAAATTCATGTCAAATCGGAACAGATGTGTTCTGAACGAAGCAAATAATAAGAATGAATCAATGATAAACATTTAAATTTCATGTGAGTCACATTCCTATTTGGATTTGTTACTTCTCGATAATTTTAAGTGCCATTTTTATGAAATTCCTTTCTGAAATGCATTAATTTATCTCTGGTTCTCCTTGATGCCATGATAAATCATTGCGAATATTTCTTTGAATCACCATTAAATTTCTGTAATTATATGATATTCGCTCAAAAATAATAACATCTCACATTATCCTACATTTGAAACAATATTGAAGCTTTAAACACTTTCATTATTTATTTGTTATATAAGATTTAAGCCCCTAGGCTAAGCTACTAACCAAATTGTTTGACAGGAGGTCACTACTGACCATGACACTCCATCACCTACTACAAACAAGTTGACAAACCAATGCCAAAGAAGTACGCAGTTGGCAGTCTTAATATAATATCCGCTTCCAAATGCATGAATCTTATCATAGGTGCTAATGATAAACGTGGCAGGTATTTCCATTTGTTTACTTTCTCCGCTTCCACTGTCTATTCCCCAACCATTCTGAAAATAATTGTACCTCCAGGCGATCAGCTAGGTGTCTAATTTACGAAATAAGTCATTCGTTAAACCTGCTTATTGATATATTAATCGAATATGATACTGTTATATAACACTGAAAGGGGAGGATTAAGTGGGATTGAACCAGTCAGTAGCTCTTGATATTTTAGAAGGAATGTGCAGATTTCTACAATAAATACTTCAACCTAAGCCAAGTCTATCAACAATTTATATTTGTCCACCAGAACTATAATAATATATAGATAAAGCCCAATAACTGCAGCATTTCCCACTTTTTTTATTACTCATACTTTCGAATTTTAAGGAGCAATATTTTAACTTTGCGGTACATCACATAAAAATAAAGTAAGTGCATATTAACTACAAAGATTTTTATTTGTTTTTTTACATAGAAATATCTCCTATACATAGATTTAACCTAGTATAGTAAAATAATATTTTTATTACTTTTAAAGGTTCATCAAGACTTTAATATATACCTGGCTATTTCAAAACACATCATTTTAAAAGACCATTCAGAGAATATTTTCAATGTTTCATAGATGAGTAATGATTGAACAATGAACATTTTACTTACCATACTTACACACTTAACCAATTTTTGTATAAATGGGTCCAAATTCGAAATAAAAACCTTAATTAATTTAATAGTTCATGACTTTGCAATCCTCATTATTATTGCTAATAACTTAAGTCAGCTTTGATATCTCGTCTGATTTTATTATGTTTAAGTAAAATAGCAAATAGATCTCTTTTTGATACCAAAATAATCGAATTCCTAACGAATTGGTGGAAAGTTAAACTTCATAATTATGGCTTAATTTTTGGGTACGATATACCTTTATATAATGCTAGGTAACCTTATAACTTTACTATTTTGTTCCTACCAGGGTTATTGAGAATGCACCTTTACTAGTGATATAATCGTATTCGATTACAAATGAAATGGATTTAAATTCACCACGTCATATCATGGTTTTTCAGATAAAAGTAAGTAATTAATATAACAAAAGGAAGAATGGCTTGAGTGATACTATTTTCAATAGAAATTATTTATAATATCACTGCGAAATAATTATGTAATTAACATTTTGGACCAGTTGGTTTAAATGACTGATCTTTATTATGTCTGTAGAGGATTGCTACGCTAGTAAAGCCTGACTGACTCAGAAATCTCTATGGCAGATTCTCCAACATCAAGCTAGACTCCCAGAACCAGCTAAGCCATAGCCCAGCTATAAAGGAAACAGACGTGTAGCACGGAGCACGTTTACTCAGGACGTATATTGTGGATAAAGTGTACACGCAGGGAGCTACTCATGATCAGGATGGGGGATTAGGTTAAACAGAGGTTGATGATTGGTCACTGTTTGTACGGTCGCTGCACACAGAGTTGTACAGCCGCACCTCCCAATCCTGGCGAGCAGACATCCAGGCATACGATGACGCAAGAAGCGATAACGAGTCCCACATGTCTAATAATAA